AGAGGCCCCCACTCTCTACAGCTAGAGAGGCCCCCACTCTCCACAACTAGAGAGGGACCCCACTCTCCACAACTAGAGAGGCCCCCACTCTCCACAACTAGAGAGGCCCCCACTCTCCACAACTAGAGAGGGCCCCCCACTCTCTACAACTAGAGAGGCCCCCACTCTCCACAACTAGAGAGGCCCCCACTCTCCACAACTAGATAGGGACCCCACTCTCTACAACTAGAGAGGCCCCCACTCTCCACAACTAGAGAGGGCCCCCCACTCTCTACAACTAGAGAGGCCCCCACTCTCCACAACTAGAGAGGGCCCCCCACTCTCCACAACTAGAGAGGGCCCCCCACTCTCTACAACTAGAGAGGCCCCCACTCTCCACAACTAGAGAGGCCCCCACTCTCCACAACTAGAGAGGCCCCCACTCTCCACAACTAGAGAGGCCCCCACTCTCTACAACTAGAGAGGGCCCCCCACTCTCTACAACTAGAGAGGCCCCCACTCTCCACAACTAGAGAGGGACCTCCACTCTCTACAACTAGAGAGGCCCCCACTCTCCACAACTAGAGAGGGACCTCCACTCTCTACAACTAGAGAGGCCCCCACTCTCTACAACTAGAGAGGGACCTCCACTCTCTACAACTAGAGAGGGACCCCCCACTCTCCACAACTAGAGAGGGACCCCCCACTCTCTACAACTAGAGACGGACCCCCCACTCTCTACAACTAGAGAGGCCCCCACTCTCCACAACTAGAGAGGGACCCCCCACTCTCTACAACTAGAGACGGACCCCCCACTCTCCACAACTAGAGAGGGCCCCACTCTCCACAACTAGAGAGGGACCTCCACTCTCTACAACTAGAGAGGCCCCCACTCTCTACAGCTAGAGAGGCCCCCACTCTCCACAACTAGAGAGGGACCGCACTCTCTACAACTAGAGAGGGACCTCCACTCTCTACAACTAGAGAGGGACCCCCCACTCTCCACAACTAGAGAGGGACCCCCCACTCTCTACAACTAGAGAGGGACCCCCCTCTCTACAGCTAGCGAGGCCCCCACTCTCCAGAACTAGAGAGGGCCCCCCACTCTCTACAGCTAGAGAGTCCCCCACTCTCCACAACTAGAGAGGGCCCCCCACTCTCTACAGCTAGAGAGTCCCCCACTCTCCACAACTAGAGAGGGACTCCCCACTCTCCACAACTAGAGAGGCCCCCACTCTCCACAACTAGAGAGGGACCCCCCACTCTCTACAGCTAGAGAGGCCCCCACTCTCCACAACTAGAGAGGGACCCCACTGTCTACAACTAGAGAGGCCCCCACTCTCCACAACTAGAGAGGGCCCCCACTCTCCACAACTAGAGAGGGACCTCCACTCTCTACAACTAGAGAGGCCCCCACTCTCCACAACTAGAGAGGGACCCCCCACTCTCCACAACTAGAGAGGCCCCCAATCTCCACAACTAGAGAGGGACCCCCCACTCTCCACAACTAGAGAGGGACCTCCACTCTTTACAACTAGAGAGGCCCCCACTCTCCACAACTAGAGAGGCCCCCACTCTCCACAACTAGAGAGGCCCCCACTCTCCACAACTAGAGAGGGACCCCACTCTCCACAACTAGAGAGGCCCCCACTCTCCACAACTAGAGAGGCCCCCACTCTCCACAACTAGACAGGGCCCCCCACTCTCTACAACTAGAGAGGCCCCCACTCTCCACAACTAGAGAGGCCCCCACTCTCCACAACTAGAGAGGGCCCCACTCTCCACAACTAGAGAGGCCCCCACTCTCCACAACTAGAGAGGCCCCCACTCTCCACAACTAGAGAGGGCCCCCCACTCTCCACAACTAGAGAGGCCCCCACTCTCTACAGCTAGAGAGGCCCCCACTCTCCACAACTAGAGAGGCCCCCACTCTCCACAACTAGAGAGGCCCCCACTCTCCACAACTAGAGAGGCCCCCACTCTCTACAACTAGAGAGGCCCCCACTCTCTACAGCTAGAGAGGCCCCCACTCTCCAAAACTAGAGAGGGACCTCCACTCTCCACAACTAGAGAGGGACCCCCACTCTCTACAACTAGAGAGGCCCCCACTCTCCACAACTAGAGAGGCCCCCACTCTCCACAACTAGAGAGGCCCCCACTCTCTACAGCTAGAGAGGCCCCCACTCTCCACAACTAGAGAGGGACCCCACTCTCCACAACTAGAGAGGCCCCCACTCTCCACAACTAGAGAGGCCCCCACTCTCCACAACTAGAGAGGGCCCCCCACTCTCTACAACTAGAGAGGCCCCCACTCTCCACAACTAGAGAGGCCCCCACTCTCCACAACTAGATAGGGACCCCACTCTCTACAACTAGAGAGGCCCCCACTCTCCACAACTAGAGAGGGCCCCCCACTCTCTACAACTAGAGAGGCCCCCACTCTCCACAACTAGAGAGGGCCCCCCACTCTCAACAACTAGAGAGGGCCCCCCACTCTCTACAACTAGAGAGTCCCCCACTCTCCACAACTAGAGAGGCCCCCACTCTCCACAACTAGAGAGACCCCCACTCTCCACAACTAGAGAGGCCCCCACTCTCCACAACTAGAGAGACCCCCACTCTCCACAACTAGAGAGGCCCCCACTCTCCACAACTAGAGAGGGACCTCCACTCTCCACAACTAGAGAGGGACCCCCACTCTCTACAACTAGAGAGGCCCCCACTCTCCACAACTAGAGAGGGGCCCCACTCTCCACAACTAGAGAGGGACCTCCACTCTCCACAACTAGAGAGGGGCCCACTCTCCACAACTAGAGAGACCCCCACTCTCCACAACTAGAGAGGGACCTCCACTCTCCACAACTAGAGAGGGCCCCACTCTCCACAACTAGAGAGGCCCCCACTCTCCACAACTAGAGAGGGACCTCCACTCTCCACAACTAGAGAGGGACCCCCCACTCTCTACAACTAGAGAGGCCCCCACTCTCCACAACTAGAGAGGGGCCCCACTCTCCACAACTAGAGAGGGCCCCACTCTCCACAACTAGAGAGGCCCCCACTCTCCACAACTAGAGAGGGACCTCCACTCTCCACAACTAGAGAGGGGCCCCACTCTCCACAACTAGAGAGGCCCCCACTCTCCACAACTAGAGAGGCCCCCACTCTCCACAACTAGAGAGACCCCCACTCTCCACAACTAGAGAGGGACCTCCACTCTCCACAACTAGAGAGGGACCCCCCACTCTCTACAACTAGAGAGGCCCCCACTCTCCACAACTAGAGAGGGGCCCCACTCTCCACAACTAGAGAGGGCCCCACTCTCCACAACTAGAGAGGGACCCCCCACTCTCCACAACTAGAGAGGGATCCCACTCTCCACAACTAGAGAGGGCCCCACTCTCCACAACTAGAGAGGGACCCCCCACTCTCTACAACTGGAGAGGGCCCCACTCTCTACAGCTATACAGGCCCCCACTCTCCACAACTAGAGAGGGCCCCACTCTCCACAACTAGAGAGGGACCCCCCACTCTCTACAACTGGAGAGGGCCCCACTCTCCACCACTAGAGAGGCCCCCACTCTCCACAACTAGAGAGGCCCCCACTCTCCACAAGTAGAGAGGGACCCCACTCTCCACAACTAGAGAGGGACCCCCCACTCTCTACAACTAGAGAGGCCCCCACTCTCCACAACTAGAGAGGCCCCCACTCTCCACAACTAGAGAGGGACCTCCACTCTCCACAACTAGAGAGGCCCCCACTCTCCACAACTAGAGAGGGACCTCCACTCTCCACAACTAGAGAGGCCCCCACTCTCCACAACTAGAGAGGCCCCCACTCTCCACAACTAGAGAGGGACCTCCACTCTCCACAACTAGAGAGGCCCCCACTCTCCACAACTAGAGAGGGATCTCCACTCTCTACAACTAGAGGAAAGCCCACACAGCAACAAAGACCCAGACAGTCAAAAATAAAGAAATAAAACAATTTTAACAAAACAAAACAAAACTGCTGTAGAGAGTTATAAGAATGTATATGTTCTGTATACCTACAATAGTAATTGACCAATATAGTCTCTTCTGCATACCACTAGGAAAAGAAAAAATTAATTTAAGGAAAAGAAAATATCTACTCATTCACTGAGTTGATACCTATCAAGGAACGGGCTCTATTTTTATATACCTGGTAGCTTAGGTGATAAAGAATCTGCCTGCAATGCAGGAGACCTGGGTTTGATCTCTGGGTGGGGAAGATCTGCTGAAGAGGAAATGGATACCCACTCTAGTATTCTTGCCTACGAGATCTCACGGACAGAAGAGCCTGGCAGGCTACAGTCCATGGGGTCGCAAGAGTCAGAGACGACTTAGCAACTGAACAACAACGATATAGCTGATTGTGTTAGGCACCAAGGCTAACTTTGTGGGACTTAATGAACAAATTGGACTTAGGAACACACTCTCAGAACAGAACTCATGCACATGTAGGGGACTTAATGCAGATATTTTCTGCTAATGGACAGTAAAGGGGTGTGGGACTTCAGGGTGTCTCCCAAGGTTAGACCATGGTCATCAATAAAGAAATGTCCCCACTGCAGATGCCCAGGGTAGACGGCCACGTGGCCTCCAGGAGGCTTCTCAGTGGGTATTCAGTAGAGACGCACAGCTCAGGAGGGAGGCAGGACTTAAGACACGAATTCTGGCACTCGGGTATTGTTGAGACCATGAGAGGAGCCTGCTAAGGGCATCCAGCGTGAGACTGCAGAAGGCAGCTGAAGATGGATTATCTGCCAGTGACAACAATGAAACAGCAGAGAGAAAGAGGAACCAGGAAATGAACCATTGCTCAGAAATCCTAGTTGGGTCAAGATAATAATATAAGAATGTACTAGAACATGAGAACAATAAAAGAGTACACTGGTATATATAATCCTAAACCTGCTTAACATCTGAAAAGAACTTAAAATTACTTTAGGACTAGATTCAGAAAAGGAAAGGACATTTTCCTAGTGTAAAGTGAGTCTTACCTATTCTGAAATAGCCATCTTCTAATCGTTTGTCTTTGGTTTCTTTGCTGATTTCCAAACTTTCACTCTAAAACAGAACAAAAACATGAATAATTACTTCCATTTAAAATAAATCTGAGTCATTAATCCATTTTATAAACATAAAAGTGACATCTGTGGCACAGCTACCTCTGAAGAGAAAATGCCATTTCAGTCTTAAACCTCAAAAGGCTTATCAATGCTAAGTGCTCTTTTCTTAAACCATCTTCTGACTCTCTATATAATACACTGTTGGCTAGGAATTTTAAATTTTAATTATTTCCCAATTTAGATCAATTTAATAGAATTCAGTTTTCTATTAAAAACAGACAGAAGTAAAGAACGGTGTGTTAACTAGAAAGATATTAAGCATCCTTTGTGAAAGTCACGCAGTCGTGTCTGATTCTGTGACCCCATGGTAGCCCGCCAGGCTTCTCTGTTCATGGGATTCTCCAGGCAGGACTACTGGAGTGGATTGCCATCTCCTTCTCCAAAGCACTCCTAAAAACCCAATAAATTAATTTTCTGTATTATTCAACAGGCATTGAAACTACATGGTATTTTGGGATTCAAAATACAAACAGCAAGTATTAACATAAAATAATGATTCATTTATTTTCCCAGTACAAATGTCCAAGAAATCTTCCAATAGGAAACAAAATAAAGGCTCTTTCTATGAATAAGGCAAACAGGACAATATACTAGGTGTTTCCTATTTCCAAAAAGAGTCGGTATGACTCACCACCAAGGTCCTGCAATCATAAGAATTTTCTTTCATAAGCAAGAAGAGCCTCAAATCAAGTCTATTAGTATTAGTTCTCAAAGGAAACTGAAGGGGAAACATAGCCATACCTTCAAAGGCAAAACTTCCACAGTTGTGTTGAGCAGAATATCCCCTGGATGCTCCTGGTTGCCACTATGAAACAAATAACTGGAAACACAAACATAAAAATAAGAATATGAATCAGTCTTGACAAAGATTCAGGAAGATGGCCTTTACCTTAGCATAAGGTCGACACTAGAGTTTGTAATTACACATCACGTGTTCTGAATAGCTGCATGGATATTAAAAAACTAAGGAGGATATGTCAACTCCTCTGTCAGAGGGGCAGGCTTGCTGCTAACATAATAATGCACTTAACAGACCCCCCCCCCAAAAATGATGACAGTTTTTTGTTGCTGTTTATACTGCTTTAAATATATAAACTTTTTGATGGAAAATGACAATTGTAGCTGCTGCAGAATACTACTGTATCTTTTTTCCTATATTTGTTTGTTTATTTATTTGGCTGCATTGGGTCTTGGCTGCAGCACAGATGATCTTTCTTCATGGCATGCGGGCTCAGAAGTTGTCGTATGCAGGCTCAGTCGCCCCACAGCACGTGGGATCTTAGTTCCCTGACCAGGGTTTGAACCTGTGTCCCCTGCCTTGCAAGACGAACTCTGAAACCACTGACTACCAGGGAAGTCCCACTACTGGATCTTATATCAGACAAAATGTTCACTAGGACAGCAAGGAGTTGTGGCAAGTTCAGAGACTAGTTTTAGCCAATATAAATAATTTTGGTATGAACAGATAAAGTGAATTAACCAATTACAAATATCAGAATCACTCCATTTGTCAACATTAACAAATCTTTGAATATGATGACTGATTACATGACATTGTTGTTCAATTGCTAAGTCCTGTCCAACTCTTTGTGACCCCATGGACTGCAGCACAACCGGTCTCCCTGTTCTTCAGTATCTCCTGGAGTTTGTTCAAACTCATGTCCGTTGAGTTGATGATACCATCTAACCATTTCAAATACTCTCTGGGTATAATGTTCTAGTGTTTTGATACTTTGAAAACTAGTGTGTACCCGCAAAGTGTGTGAGAGAGGGTGGAAGCTGGATAGGGCGCAAAGCATATCTAAGTCTAAACCTAAAACTTGAGTTTAGTGAAGTTCAGTGGTTAAAAGCTCATGCTAAGGAGTCAGAGGCTCCTCCCTGGATCTCTCATTTCCTAGAATTCTCACCTTGTGCAAGTTTCGTTAAGCTTTCTGAGCCCGTGTTTCCTCAGTACAATCAGCTATTTCCATCTATGTCACACGGTTGTACCAGAAAGTTCCTGAGAATTGACTAAAACTACCTTCTATGTTAAAAATAGTGAGTAACAGTCACAGAATAGTCACGATACCCTTATAGTATGGTATTTGTGGGCAAGAATTTGGTTTTCAAATGTCACACAGACCAGGGGACCCTGATAAGAAGCTGCTTCTAAGCTAAATATACCAAAACTAACTCCCAGTTTCCAGATGAGATACATTTTTTTAAAGGCATCTTTGACCCAGAATGTCATATAACCACAGGCCATTCAATAACTTAGCTATAGATGCCAAATCATGGGACGGGGAAGCCACTTTTTAGAAAAGAGCCCATGGATATAATCTGGAGTTAAGACAGACTAATTCAGAGGTGTTCACTATGCAATTATTTATAGTGAAAAACTCCATAGCACCTAAAAAGTTTAACACTGGAAGATGTACATGATGGTAGAACCACACAATGAGATATTGTGCAGTCATCAAAAAACTGCATTGGCCCGAAAGTTTGTTCAGGTTCTCCTGTAAGATGCTATGGGAAAACTTGAATGAACTTTTGGACCAACTCAATACTTGTGAGTCACAACAGAGTATAATGGAAAATGTAAGATATAAAACTACATGTAGACCATGGTCTTAAGGTCAAAAATACACAGAATTATCAAGAAAAAAAGGTGCCAATATGGTCATAATGGTTTCCTTGGGTTATGATTTTTTCCTCAGTATTTTTTAAGATTTTTTTTATGTGAACCATTTTTAGTTTTTATTGAGTTTGTTACAATATTGTCTCTGTTTTATGTTTTTTGGTCATAGGGCTTGTGGGATCTTAGCTGCCTGACCAGGGATCCCACTCACATCCCCTGCATTACAAGGTGAGACCTTAACCACTGGGCCCCCAGGGAAGTCCCTTTCCTCATTTTCACACTTCAAAATTTCTGTATAAAGCACACATATGTTATAGAAAGAATATTTTTAACACTTCATTTCTGTATTAATAGATTTTGCTACTTCCCCTCTCAGTGAGTAAATTATGGCAAAAATCAAGTAATCCCTTTTTTCTATCCTATGAAGGTCAAGAAAATTCTTATATACTGTTATTTTAGAAGACTTATGTTTCACTAGAAAAGTGCCCACAATAGAGTCATCATAAATATTACTTCACAGAGGTTTACTGTAGATAATTTGTTGTTACTAAGTTTGATCTCCAATATATGAGCTCTTTAGCAGATTCTTTGATGGAACTGTTTTTATGTGCTAAAAATAAACCCATAAATTGGTTTCAGGCTATTCTTGTTGAAGTGAAAACTGTTGTTTCTAATTCTAGGATGACTCATGAAAATGTGGTGAACAATACCTCTCAGGGCAGAGTTCCACTATACAGTATAAAATGAACATTAAATAACAATAAAGCCAATATTAAATACTCATGTAAGTGAAAAATATTATTCATAAGTTTAATATGTTTTGCCAGTGATCTTCCCATTGCTTATAACATTTTTATGCTTAAATTCCTCTTCAGAAGCAGCTTAGAGTAAGAAAAGAAAATTAATAGCATTACATGCAGCTATGCATTGTTACTGATCACCTTAAAAAGAATTATTAAAGTGGTCAAATATTTGACAAATTCTAAAAATCAAATGGCCTTCACAGGAAAACATAACATCATATGTCACAGGCTAGGAAATTATATTCTATTCTGGGGGTTATATGTAAGTATTCCACAGACAGTCTGGGTAACACACCCAAAACAGGGGAAAGATGGAAGGAACTGTGACTGTTAGGTGAAAAATGGGAAGGAAAAAGCCCCAACTTTTTCAAAGTGAACATAAACCCCAAATCACAGAAAAGAGTTGTAAGACATATGTACCCCACTGTTCACTGCAGCACAATTTACAATAGCTAGGACATGGTTGCAACCTAGATGTCCACCAACAGATGAATGGGTAAGGAAGCTGTGGCACATATGCACATGGATTATTATTAGCCATAAAAAGGAACACATCTGAGTCAGTACTAATGAGGCAGATGAGCCTAGAGCCTGTTATACCGCGTGAAATAAGTCAGAAAGTAAAAGAAGTATCACATTGTAATGCATACATATGAATCTAAAAAGACAGTACTCACAATCCTACTTGCAAGCCAGCAAAGGAGACACAGACATTTTGGACACAGTGGGGGAAGAGACAGTGGGATAAAATGAGAGAAATAGCATTGAAACATATACATTACCATATGTAAAACAGATAGCCAGTGGGAGTTCAATGTATGATGCAGGGAACCCAAAGCCAGTGCTCTGTGACAACCTAGAGGGGTGGGATGGGGAGAGGGGTGTTCAAGAGGGAGGGGACATGTATATACCTAACGCTCTTCATGCTGATGTATGGCAAAAACTATTACAATATCGTAAAGTAATTATCTTCTAATTAAAAAAAAAGAAAAAGAAAAGGGTTGTAACTTCCTCCATGGCATATACTAAAAGCCATCCAGCACTTGCAAAATCACTACCTAGGAATAGTCATACTCTGTTAAATTTATCCTTTCAGCCAATTGCTGGGCCGTCCACCAGCTCACAGTCAAATCTTAAGGGATATTCTAAGATAACGGCAGGAAAATTAATTGGAGATTCTGAGGAAGAGTTCTACATGAAAGCATTAGAAATCTCTACTAGGGACTTTCCTGGTGGTCCACCAGTTAAGACTGCACGCTCCCTACAATCCCGCAGGCCACAACTAAAAGATCTTTGCATGCTGCAACTAAGACCCGGTGCGACCAAGTGAGTTAATAGATAAAAACAAGTATATTTTTAAAAATCTATACTAAATATACTTTCAGAAATACCAATAGAATTTATCTAACATACTAAATGCCGGTGTTCTACCTGGAAGCAACCCACCCGCAATATTACTGAGTTGCAGGAAATGTATTTTACGTGCCTGAGTGCTCAGCCATTTAGTCATGTTCTACTCTCTGCGAACCACGGACTGCAGCCCGCCAGGCTCCTCTGGCCACGGGATTCTCCAGGCAAGAATACTGGAGTGGGTTGCCATTTCCTTCTCCAGAGGATCTTCCTGACCCAGGGATCGAATCTTCATCTTTTACATCTCCCACCTTGGCAGGAGAATTACTAACTGCATCACCTGGGAAATGCCACATATTTTATAATCTAACATTTAGGACTCATTGGTTCCTTACATGTGTTACACATACCAAAAAAAAAAAAAATTCTAACATAAATCACACTGTGAAGAAAAGGTCTAAATTGTGAGACCAAATTTTATCTCCATAAGGACCTACCTTTCCACATTGACTGGCTTGTCGAATTTAAACAGGATGTAGTCTCCAGCTACTGGGGTTATAGCCCAGAAGAAGTCCTCACCCATGTAAGTCTTCTCCAGTGTGTGACCTTGGTAGACCTTCAAAGAAGTGGATACCTCTGCAGGGGGGTTTACGTGGATTTTGAGCAGTAATGGTTTCATGTAATCTTTATCCTAGGAGGAAATACATATATGCTATTAAACAACATACAGCTTATTTTTTTATTTGCTCAGAATTGCTTCTCTTTATTTAATTTTTGTCGGAGTGTAGTTGATTTGCGACGTTGTGTTAGTTTCAGGCGTACAGCAAAGTAAGTCAATTATGCATATACATATATCCACTTCTTTTTAGATTCTTTTCCTATCTAAGCCATTATGGAATATTGGCTGGAGCTCCCTATGCCATATAGTAGGTCCTTATCAGTTACCTGCTTTGTTGTTTTTTTTTAACTGGAGTATAACTGCTTTACAATGTGTGTTAGTTTCTGCTGTAGAACAGTGAATCAGCTATAACATACGGCTTATTTATATTTAAGGAGAACAATGACTATACATTAAATAGCAAATTGTCTGTGCATGAGAAAAATAAAATTAAATCACTAACCGTGAGTTTCTGAATTTTTCCTGTGAGTGAAGAATGCAGACCAACGTGTTGGAAAAGGGACGGTCTGAAACGGATTCGCAGATTTGCCTTCTGTCGATCACAGTGTTTCTAAATATTAAAGAGGAATGTTAGTGTTACATTAGAAAGTGACATCTTGTCCTCCTCTGAAAGCCCAGACTTCCTTTAGAAGAGTAAATATTAAAAAGAAAATCCAATTTCATCTCATAATTCCAAGTCATGTGTTATTTTTTAGGGTCCTTTTGGAGAAGTCAATAGATTTTCTACCAACTTGATAAATAGACATGATGCAGAAATTTAACATAAGCACTTCTGAGGGAAGAGATAAGGATTTAATTTCAACCACCTTTTACAAAGTGCCAATATCAATTTGGCTTTTAATATTAAAATGCACCCACCCTAGAGGTTTGGTTCAAATACACAAACTAGCTACACAAAATGATACAGTGAAGAATTTGCAGATAAGGCCCATTTTGCTGCATCAAAGCAATGTGAAAACAGGAGACAGTAAGTAGACTACAAGCAAGGAAACAGAGTCAAACAGACAAATCCACCTCGACACTGCTGAGGGACGCCTAAACTTCAGCTCCAAGTGTCCCGTGGCCCAGACTTCAGATCACACGCTGCTCTCGGGCGTGATCACACCTGGCGGACCCACAGCTGGCCGGGCTCCCGTGTTCACCAGCTCAGCGCTTCAGGACAGGTGTGTCCCAAAGAGTTTCATAAACTCTTTCCATTTTCAATGACTTTTATAGGTTTTGGGTCAAGAACACAGTGAAGATGACAAATGTAGAAGGCATTTCATTGTGAAAAACCTCCACTAATTTTCTGCTAATTTTTCTCAAGAGCTTTACTTCATTAGCATTATTGCTAACGGGAGAGTAGAGGTGAAATTTTATATATACAAACATCTTATAAGATAAAATTTTATAAATTTTTACTTACATATTTTAATTTTATAAATTATTAATAAAATAAATAAAATTTATTTATTAAAATTAATAAATTTTTATTTTAGAATTATAAAATAATTTTATAAATTATAAGAATAAATTTTATTTACACAAACATTAAAAAATTTTTTTTACACAAACACAAAAGTCACAAGGAAGGAGAGGAAAAGGAAGGAAGAGAGGAGAGGAGGGATAGTGGGGGCAGGCGGAGGCAGCAGGGTCTGAGGCCAACCCCATCACTCAACACAGGCAAACAGATAACACGTTTGGGCCTGCAGACTCAGAGCAGGTCCATAAACCTTTGGAAGAACGTGTGAATTGTTTTTATCTCTTTTTTTACAGTGACACTAGTTTATAATACCAGTTTCACGTGTGAACATTGTATTTCCACTATTTCTGCTCCCTTTACACCTGCACTTGCCCCTCTGGTAACCACTACCCTCCTTTCTGTATCTACATGTTTTTATTTGGTACTACCGGTGGGAATGTAAATTGGTGCACCAACTATGGAAACAGCATGGAGACTGCTCAAAAAATTAACAATAGTAGTTCCATGTGACCCAGCTATCCCATTTCTGGGTATTTATCCAAAGAACACAAAATCAGCAAAAGCAGAGGCAGCCCTATGTTCACCACAACATTATTTACAATAGGCGTGATATGGAAGCAACCTAAGTACCCACCGATGGATGAAAGGGTAAAGATGTGCTGTGTATACACACACACAAATGGAATACTACTCAGACATATAAAAGATGAAATCTTTTCATTTGCAACAACAAGGATGGCCCTTGAGCGTATTATGCTTAGTGAAAACGTAATGCTTGGAAGAGTCTCAATCACATCTCAAAGGGATGTGATTCTGGAGCAAGCAAGTACATGGTGACAGTTTCCTTGACATCCTAGTAGAAGCAACTGAAATATTATGGGCCACAGAAAGAATAGTGAAAGAATGGGTCTTCATGGTTTTAGTTTTTATTTTCAGAGACTTTCACCTCACAAGCTCATTTTAGAACATAACCATGTATTAGATAAAACTGCATGGAAGCAATTAAATGCAAGTATGTTGTACAAATGTAAAGATGACATTAACGGTTCTGTAAACCCACAAGGAAAATACAGGTAAGGGCTTACATCATAAAAATGAGTTGATTGAATCAATTTCTATGTTTAGTCATTGTTGGAAAGTAGGCACTCTGCTATTGTGCTACATTCTGAGTTGCTCTAAGAAAGTGGTTATTTTTTTTTTTTTAAGACAGAGAATTCAACAATAGCTTACAAATACTGTTTGTTTTCAGCTACCTATTTAACTGTTCGTTTACAAAATCTGGTTCCCTAGGAGTCATCACTTTCACTAAATACATAAAATTAGTCTGTTCCATTCTCCTAAGAGATAAGACTTACTGCATCTTTTTCAGGGTTGCAGACTTTCACCCATAGAATATGGTCCAAGAGCCAGTCAATGGGTTTCTCCTTATAGAACATAAATATGAATTCCACAATCAGAGTGAGGTCGGGTGCTTGAAACATTTTACCTGAAAAGATACTCCCAATCAGTAACTGTAATAAGAAGCCAACCATCAGAATGACTTCAATGAGTGAAGTCCATGCAACAAATACACTAAAGCTTGTGCTTTCAACTATAAATCATTATGAATAATTGTCCCATCTCTCTTGTCAAAAACAAATTTGCTTTAGCTTAGTTGTCACCTGATATAAATGGAACTCTTGATTTTCTCTACTACAAAATCTATCATACCACTACCGGCTCAAAGGATTCAAGAAGAGATTGGAAATGTTTCCTTCATGTCTCATTAAACTGCTTCTCATAAAAAAGGAACTTAAGTTTAAGTTTAAATGAAATTTTAACTAAATTAATAAAAGCAAAACACAAGGACTCCTAATTCAGTCTTCACTGAAACCTTCACAAATATTTTTTGAGTTTTGAGATAAATGATCAACAAGGTCAAAGCCTCAGCCTCTAATATTTACAGATTTAAAGCATTATAGGAAGTGAAATATTATTCTCTGGGGTGTTTTCTAAAAACCCATAAATTTCTTTCAATCTTCAACTTTAAACATATTCTCTTTAGTTGGATGATTTAGGAATTTTAATGAAAAAAAACTTAAAAAAAAAAACTTTTAAAATAAGCACCCTGACTAGTCCATGAAAGCACCCATGAATACAAATTAATGACTGAACAAGAACTTCATGTACTACACTGAATACCAGGAATTCCTATTAAAAAGCCGTTAATGCAGCATTCTTTTTAAAAGGACCTCAATCTTGCAAAAGCTCTGGGCTTTAAAACAGGAACTAGAGGCGTCAGAGAAGGAACCAGATGTACTCCCAAGGACCATGGCTGGTCTGTCAGCATGGAAAGACAGACAGCAGGGCTGCCGTGCAAAACTCCAGAGTAAATACTACCATGCTAGACCTCTCCAAATACTACTCCGAGCTGACTTCAATGTTTTATACATGGAAGTCTACCTAACTTATTAGGTAGTTATTAATAAATACTTAAGTTATTAGTAAATTTCTTTAAAAGCAATCCATTTCCAGAGGAAAAAAAGAGATAACCGTTGTAAGGTGAAAAAACAGTCCAAGATTCTAAGAGTCACAGTTATTTTAAAGTAAATAAATCTGCCACTTTGCTTACCAATGAATCCCAGCTGGGAGAACTCAAGTATCATCCATTCCTCAGAAGAAAGTTGAAGTGCAAAATTTTTTATGGTGTTAAAGTAATTCTGTTTGACGATAATATCATCTTCAAGCTAAAGAAAGTTGAATAATCATATTAATGAATCAGAAAGAGAAGGGAAGATTTAGATGGGACACTCTGGAAAAACTCAAGTACACTTTTATAATGACAATCAAGAAAACAATGGTCAAAAATGATGAAAATAAAAATAAATTTCAGGACTTCCCTGGTGGTCCAGTGGTTAAGACTCTGAGTTCCCAATTTAGGGGGCCCAGATTATATCCCTGGTCGGGGAAGATCCCACATGCCTTGTAGTGTGGCCAAAATAATAATAATAATTTTTAATAATAATAAAAGGAAAAACCTAAAAAATAAAAAGAAATTTTATTAAAGGAAAAATGAAGAAAATAAAATGGCAGATGCACACAGCAAATCAATAAAACCACTCCCTCACTATGAGAAATTACAAAACATTCCGTGATTTACTCATTTTGGCCCTTTTATGGATCCAATAGGATTTCACACTAACCTGTTTTCTTTTCAAAGGAAAAGAATTTTAAAGGCCTTTTCATTTTTTTTTTTTTACATAATACATGTAACAAATCATTTAAAAAGAAAAAAACAACCTAGTTTTCCTTCTTTACCCTCCACCCTTCTAGTGGAGGCGACTAATGTTCAAGGTTGGGTGTGCGCCCACTAGACACCTTTAGAATGCACATACAACACAGGGAGCCAAGAGAGGTAAACCTACCTTAAGGTTCCCACCCACCTTTAGATTTTTATTAAACTGGCCTTTTTCCTCCTAATATATCATGAATATCTTTCCAGGTTAATAAGTATATATTTAAAGCAGTCTCTTCAGTAGATGTATACTATCCCCAGGGATCCATGGGCAAGTCATTTGTTTGTTCACAGGCAGACACTCAGGCTGTTTCTCATGCTTTGTCAATGCAAACAGTGCTTACACTTCACATCAGTGCTATTCATTTCTGTAGGATTGGTTCCTAAAAGTTCTTTTTTTATATTTTAAAAGGTATCCTCAAAATAATTAAATAGCTGTAGCAACTCAGTGTAGCCATTAACCCCATGTGCTCTGCCATCACCACGTGTGTTACTGGCAAGTTTATCAGTGCAACAGGGAGTTGACAGAGATCGAGGATCATGAGTGTCTGCAAAGACTTCTTCCCCCAAATGTTCAGAGAATTTTAAAGTCACAAGATAATTTTTTTACCTATGCATACATTCTTTTAAAAATATTCTTTACCACTGATGACTTTAATATCCCAGGAAAACTCTTCCTTTTTCTAATGACATGTTATCATTTCCAGTTATCTGCTGAGTAATTTTTACTTATTTCAGTATTTGGGTTTTTCATAGATTTGAATCCTATAAGCTTTCTTCCTGTCTGTGAAGAAAGAGTAGCCATATTTGGAAAGGCATGATTTTGACTGGGGCTTCCCAGGTGGCACAGGTGGCACAGAACCTGCCTGCCAATGCAGGAGATGTAAGAGATGTGGGTTCTATCTCTGGGTTGGGAAGATCCCTGGAGGAGAGCATGGCAATTGACTCCCGTATTCATGCCTGGAGAATCCCATGAACAGAGGAGCCTGGACATGACTGAAGTGACTTAGCACGCACGCATACAATTTTGACTCACCAGTATTTACAGAGCTTTGATTATGTTCCAGGCACAACCCTAAAGTCTGGGAACTCATCAGTAAACAATAAGACAAGAAGTGTAGATGAAATAATTAAATGCCTATTTAAATTTAGTACACTAAACTTGATTATTGCAAAAAAACTCACTTTTATATTAAATTAGAAATATTGCTTTGTTCCACTCTCAGCAAACAACTTTGCTTTCTAAAAAGACTTTTAAAGATAATTGTAGATCATATACAGCTATGAAAAAATAATACAGAGAGACCCCAAACAATCTCAATATACATCTTCTGATCTAACTACAGCATGGTATCACCATCAGTAAATTGACTCTGACACAACTCATCCAACTTATTCAAATCTCACCTGTTTTACACAGACTTAGTTGTGTGTCTCTGTGTTTAGTTCCATGCAATCTGAACATGTGTCCGTTTGGAGGAGCACCACTAGAGCTGGGGTATAGGACAGTTCCATCACAGGGATTCTCACGCTACTCTTTATATTCACAGCCATCGCCCTCCTTTCCCCCCTTCCAAGCCTCTGGAAACCAAAAGTCTGTTCTCCATCTCCATAATTTTGTCATTTCAAGAAAGCTATATAAGGACTTCCCTGGTGGTTCAGTGGCTAAGACTCCGCCTTCCAGTGCAGGGGGTGTGGGTTTGATCCCTGGATGGGGAACTAAGATCCCACACCCCACAGGGTGCAGCCAAACATATTTTTTTAAATAAATAAATAAGTTTTTTATAAAGACTGGGTTTTTATTAATTTATTTTTGGCTGTGCTGGGTCTTTGCTGCTGTGCAAGCGTTTCTCCAGCTGTGGGACTCCTCTCCAGTTGTGGTGCATGAGTCTCATCGCAGTGGCTTCTCCTGGGGCAGAGCACGGGCTTCAGGAGTTGCGGCATGCGGGCTTGGCCGCTCTGCAGCAGGTGGGATCCGCCCAGACCAGGGACCGAACTTGTGTATCCTGCACTGGCGGGCAGATTCTTTACCACCGAGCCACCAGGGAAGTCCAAAACCTGGGTTTTTTAACTGAGCGTAATTCCCCTGAGATCCTGCCTTTTCATTATTAGACAGTCCACAGGATGGAGGCACCACAGTTAGTTTAACCAGTCACCTGCCAAAGAACATATGGGCTGTTTCCAGGTTTTGCTATTACGAATGAAGCTGCTATGGCCCTTCATGTATAGGTCTTTCAGTGAACATATGTGCTTCTCTGACATCAGTGTTTCATCACAGCAAGACCCACTCTTGGAAAATCTAACATATACCTCATTAGTGATCGCCAGTTTATACAGGAAAGTGAAAACACAAGAAGTAAAACACTGCTTTTGCACTACGTACCTGCAGAGTCTGAAAGAGGTAGAATATTACATTTTTGTTCCAATATTTAAAATGTACGAGGAGAAACCAAAAACTCATGGTGGTTGCCCACGGGGGAGGGAGGAGACACGGGAAGACAACAGGGATAAAAAGGGGACCTCTGAAAACATATCTTGTTTCATATAAGTTTTGATTTGGGAATATTATACTTTTTACAAATAAAAAAGAAGAAAAATGCTAACCACTGAATACAAATGGAAATAAATGAACCTACTTTCATATCAGGTTGTTATTAATGTGGTCACATAATATGAAGAATTTTATCAAGTGACTTTCAAACATGGAATTTTGACTATATATTCATATCAGGATATACTCTTCAGGAGGGAAACAAGAATAAAATATTTTTAATTGCATTTAGTAGTTTAATTGATACTGTTATTTTGAAACTATTCTAGGTATTATTGTTGTCGTTTAGTCAGTAAGTTGTGTCTGACCCTGTGACCCCTTGGACTGTAGCCCACCAGGCTCCTCTGTCCATGGGCTTTCCCAGGCAAGAATACTGGAGTGGGTTGCCATTTCCCTCTCCAGGAGATCTTCATGACCCAGGGCTTGAACCCACGTCTCCTGCATTGCAGGCAGGTTCTTTACCACAGAGCCACCAGAAAAGCCCATTCTAGGTGTACTATAGAATAAAAGAATTATGTTATTTTGATAATTTTACTAAAACCAAGGCTCTGAATATAAGAGAATATACATAAAATTCAAAAAAGTTAAATAAAAATATTATGATCTTACACTTGAACTGGGATTATCAATATCAATGTGATTTTTTGTCCTCTGAGCAATCAGATGTTCCTTTTCTTACTAAAACACCCAGAAGCAAAGACACCACAATAGCCGTGAGCATCTCCAGTGCACAGACTGTAGTTCTAAATACTGTACACCTCTAAAACAAACAGGACTCCTTTAGGAAATGGCTGCTTCTACATCTGGGACAGGAAATGTGCAAGGTGTGCCAGTCAATGAGGAAGTGATCCACGTGATTACTGGGCTTACAAGAAAAGTATACAAGAGCCCATTTGAAGAAATTCTCACTGGCTTAGGATGGGCCAATACAAGCATCAATATCAATAATGATTGCAGAGACTTCCCTGGTAGTCCAGTGGCTAAGTCTTTGTGATCTCAATGCAGCGGGCCCGGGTCTGACCTCTGGTCAGGAAACTAGATCCCGCATGCCCACAACTAAGAGTTGTCATGTGCCACAGCTAAGACTGGTGGAGCCAAATAAATAAATAAATGAACATATAGAAATAATGATTGCAAAGACTGGGCAAACCAAATCTAGTTTTAAAAAATATGAGTTCACAACAATACTTTATAAATGGTCACCACTGCAGACTGCTAAGGTGTCAACTTAAAAATTAATAAAGAAAAAGAATCAAGCACTTAATCTTATTTTCCTTTGTAAACTATTTTTCAACATCACCAAACAGTTAAGAAAGGAGAGTCCTTTTACAGAAGAGCTCTACTTTTAAGAACATTACAATTTATAGAATTAGAAAATTATCAGTTGGCAACCTGTAACAAAAAAAAAGCAATCTGGGGGAAAATAATTACAGAAGCTCAAACCATGCAAGAAATGGCTGCTGGGTAGCTTTTTAATAAAGGAGAGATGAGACTGACACCCCTACACCCATGGATTAAATCTCAGCATCACTAAAAGTGGGACAAGCTGACATGTGACACAGGAAGAATGATGCAGTACCACCTACGAAGTGTCTGCATCACCAGACAGTTTTCCAGAAGACTGTCTTCAAGTCCAAGTCATTTGCAATAGAGCACTTTATGAATCTGGGTTGCTGCTGTCACGGAAAACTTCGTTACAAGCCACAAGCAAAACAGTGAGGCAGGTGGCATTTTCTTTTCCCTTTAGATGTACATCTGTGATGACCACAGAGTAACCACTGAGTCTAAGACAGATCCACTGGACATTCTTAAAATTACCCTATTTGTCCAAAAATTATGCCTCAGAAAAGGTGTCTATAGCATGCTAACTTCCCTGGTGGCTCAGAAGTAAAGAATCAGCCTGCCAATGCAGAAGACATAGGTTGGCTACCTGGGTCGGGAAGATTCCCTGGAGAAGGAAATGGCAACCCACTCCAGCCTGGAAAATCCCATGGACAGAGGAGCCTGTCAGTGGGCTACAGTCCACAGGGTCACTAAAAAGTCGGACCTGACTCAGCGACTAAACAACAACAATTGTACATTAAGTGACAGCAAAACACACTTTGACATAGTATATACAGCACATTCCTGTTATAAAAAGGGTTATATTAAATGAGTTAATATGTGGAGGGCATAAAGTATAAAAAATAATGCCTGACAGAATAAGTGTGCAATAAATGTTAGTTCATAGCAGTTATTGTTATTATATCTCATATAATACTGTAATATCTCATATATTGACCTTGCTTAGGGGAAATTTTCCTTACCACCCTCTTTCTTAACCCTGACCTTTCCTCAATTTCTTAAAAATGAACTTTTCCTACATTCCCTCCCAAGAGCATTATTGGTTCCATGAATTCTTCCCCTGGAAGAAAATTGAAAACAGATTTCAAAAGTAATACTGCTGCACTTTTTAATGCTATATACAAAGTTCTTGACCATCATGTAAATATTTATATACTGGGCCTGGAACAAACAGCAAGGTTCAACCACAGTAATATTGTGTGTGTGTGTGTGTGTTGTTTGTTCAGTCGTGTCCTACTCTTTGAGACCCCACGGACCATAGGTCTTCAGTCTCCTCAGTCCATGAGACTTCCCCCAGGCAAGAATACTGGAGTGGGTTGCCATTCCCTTCTCCAGGGGACCTTCCCGCCCAGAGATTGAGTCCGGGTTACCTGCATTGCAGGCAGCTTCTTTACTGTCTGAGCCTCCAGGGAAGCCCACAATAATACTGGGGGTATGTTAAAATGCTTCAAAATTACTATTATTATTTTAAAATCAGACCTCTCTGAAGCATTTGGAGGAAAGGCACTACCTATATCTAGGATACCGTGTTTTTATACACACAGCTGTTGCATCCTGTGATAGACATGTCATACCCTATCAGCATTTCTATTTTTCAGCCTGTGACTCAAGGAGGGGTTGGTTCATGCCTACGTGAATACAGCTGGCCCAAGGTACAGCACCACAAGAGACAGAAGTCTGCCCTCAAGAAGTCCGCCTTCCCACGTGATGCCAGCCTCATTCCTTCCATCTTTGTTTTCCTCCCCAGTCCCTGCCAGCAGCCGCCTAACCACTTCCTTCCTAATTCAGGGACTCAGGGCTGCTTCTTGCCACTCTTATCCACACATCCTCCCAGCACCTGATGAACTTTTTATACTGAAAAAAAAAAAAAAACCTGACACACTTCACGTGCTATATATCTCTCAGGGGTATCTGCACTTTGAACAGGGATAAAGATATTTGACTAAATAAGTGAAATCCCAATGCAGAAATTTACGCTTAAGTATTAACTGAAGAACACTTGGAAGAAATAAGAGCTTCCTAGAATTACTTAAGCTGTTGCCCACCTGGCTCACTTAAAACCTACATCACGATGGACTTACTGTTTTAGCCATGCTACTGAAAGTTGCACCTGTGTGCGTGTGTGTGTCTGCGTTAGTCGCTCAGTCATGTCCAACTCTTTGCGGCCCCATGGACTGTAACCCACCAGGCCCCGCTGTCCGTAGGATTCTACAGCCAAGAACATTACAACATTACAACAAAATAGATGTAAACTCATATGTAAATATATCACTGCACAAAACAACTATCTGCCTTAAGACCACTAAATCATCCAGAGAAAAACCAGGGCGTGCAGCTGCAGACCCCACGCTCTTAGGGATGTGACTGACCCTTCCGCTCTGGTACACTGTTATCATCTTAAATATTTTAGAGGGCTCATGCTTTGGAAACTTCATTTTAATGAAAATATACCCTTGATATTAATCTTTCTTTAAAAAGTGTGGAAAAAAAAAAACTAAAGGAAAAATTTACCTGGATGTAGTATGTGCCTTTTTCCTGAGCATACATCATTAGAAAACAATAATCTAGGTTTTGCTTTGTTCTCCATCTGAAATAAAAATGTTCAAAAATAAGTTAAGAATCAGACTCAAAGTTAGCAAAATAAAGTTAGATGTATATTTCATAATATATAACAACGTTATATGCAATATATATATATATCACATATATTGTGTATATGATAATATGATATTATACAAAATGTACAGTTATATATTGGCTTCCCTGGTGGCTCAGTGGTAAAGAATCTGCTTGGCAATGCAGGAGACATGGGTTCGATCCCTGGATTAGGAAGACCCCTTGGAGAAGGAAATAGCAACCTGCTCCAGTATTCTTGCCTAGAGAATCCCATGCACAGAGGAGCCTGGGGGGCTCCGTAAGGTCACAGAGTCAGACACGACTGAGCAGCTAAACAACAATAGTCATACATTAGATAGATAGGTAGACAGATAAATAAATGGATGGAATGACACATACATGGTATATCCACTTAGGAGAGAGTTGAAGAGAATTCACTTTTCTTTAAGAAGGCTTTATCAAAACACATTCTCAAAAACACTAATCCTCAAGATGTCCTGAGGGAAAAAGGAGTCTAATGTCTAGTAAGTTTGGGAAGGACATATATTTCTTTTCTAGAGACACATTAATATATTAGAAGCATTGAAACATTCAGCAATAAATAGCATCTGTTGAAAAAAGTTTTTAATTCAATATTTTCCAATTTTTCTTGACCACAGGCCCCTTTTTCAGTAATATTTTAATGTCTCCAAGAACTAGTGCTTCATATATAGGTAAAAATGTTTTTTAAAAAAATCTAAAACATTGTATTAAAATTTACAATATTAGGTCCTTTTGGTGAATTCTTGGCAGCCTACAGAAACACACTGATCAATGCTGAATAAAGAGAAGTGATTTTTTAAAAGCCAGTTAAAAACACACACACACACACACACACACACACACACACAATAGAACTAAAGTTCTGAACCACTAAGTAAACTTCTTCAGAAAATACCTTATAAGCTGTTCTGAATTTAAAGAGTCTATTCACTGGGTTTTTTTTTTTTAAACAAACTCAATCCTAAATGTTTTAAGTAACATATTTATTGAGAGACAATTAACCAATTATAGAGACATATCTGTCTTTGTGACAAATTAACAACTCAAGAAATACAATAAATCTCTTCCAAAAACACTATTTTTGTCCTTTTTTCTGGTTATATACAATCCAGAAATGATGCTAATATCTCTTAGATTACTTTGTTTTTAACAACAACACAAGGAAAGCTTCTAACTCCTTCAATGTTAGAGATTTAGAGATAAATTAATTAATGGACTATTTTATTTATTGCAATATGATTCTGCAGAAGACTATTACTGTTTTTATCACTTTTATTGAATCAGTTCTCCTTTATGTTTCATACAGACATGAGGTATCTGGACTAACTTTTGAGTTATACTGAATATACTCTTAAGAAAAGTTACAACAGCACAGAGCAGCACAGTTATAAAATTCATTAGGTTGACCAAATTCAATCTCTCATCAGGAACTCCACAGAAATTCCAACCAAGTAATCAAAAAGGCATTAGCTCTCACTAATTAGTTCAACCCTAAAATGAAGCCACCAGCTTCCGTGGTAGCTCAGATGGTCAAGAATCTGCCTGCAATGTGGGAGGCCTGGGTTCGGTCCCTGGATTGGGAAGATGCCCTGGAGAAGGGAATGGCTACCCACTCCAGTGTTCTTGCCCAGAGAATTCCAAGGACAGAGGAGCCAGGTTACAGTCCATGGGGCTGCAAGGAGTCTGGACACAACTGAGTGACTTTCACTTTCAAAATGAATAAAGTTCTGACAAACAAGGATGACATTTATGACACATTATACTCACAAAGGTGGGAGATTTTAAAAACCACAGGCTCACCTTACTCTTTCTTTAGAATCTCCAAATGTCTCCCTTAAGTTTGTCAGGTCAGGATAATAGCTTTCAGGAGGTGATATTATTTCCACCAAGCCAGAACTGATTTCTTTAGGAAATCTGTCATGAGAAAGGTTGGCTGAGTTATAGAAGTTCTGTGGGATTTTATATCTCAATGATCAACTTAGGTATTTAGCAGAAAAATACACCAGTAAAGTATACTGCTACAGTCACAATGTGTTAAGTGAAGCAGCTCATCATTGATTCATTTCTAGAAAACATAGATTTTTCCAATAGTACAGGTTTTTTTTTTTTTAATAATGCTTCAAACAGAGTAAAAATACTAATATCCTTAGTGTAGCAGAGAAATTCCAGGCCAACTGCAGGGACTGAAGTCCTAAAAAAAATCATAATTCTTAAAAAGCAATCAAGATGCCACAGAAAATAAGAAAGAAAAACAACCTAATGAATGTGTATGTATACCAACATACACATACATTAGCAAAACCAGTTTTTTTTCCATTTTCAGGAAGGCTTAGTTGTGGGATACAGACTGTATGTCATTTCAAACTAGTATTTCTCACCTGGGGGTGACCTTGTCCTGTGAGGGTACATCAAACCATGTCTCGATGTCTGCAGGTTGTGCAAGGATAGGAAAATTTGTTCTGACATTTTTAAAATTCATCTCCACTGATTCAGATGTAATTTGCTTTGCATCTGCCTTCTTCCTTACTTCAGGTTTGCAAACCTCTACAAAATACAACTACCTGCCTTTGCACAAAGGTTCCCGGTGCTTCACCGCCCTTTGTCCTGGGCTTGGTTTCCTTGCACACTGAGGCAGAGAGGAACCAACAGAATCCTTGCATAAGCCCCTCAGACCAGCCCACGTGGTCTGTGGGAAGGGGGACCAACGACGGCCTGGTACCTATATTTAAGGATCCTACACTAATTTGTGACTGTATAAAGGCTGCCAAGAAATTGAGCAATTGAGGGAAAATCTAACAAAAGCACAATTTAATCCTGAACTATGCATATATTTGTAAAAAATCTCCGGTTTTAGCATACTGACAGACAAAGATAGAGCCACATTAGCTTAGATTTGGCAAACTCTTTGGCTTCTCTTTTGTCTTGCCTAAGTTACATAAAAGGATATGTCTTTTGGGGGCGACAACAGATACATTTCAATCAAGAAACCTGTGGCAGGACTAATTTTATGATATCACTATGAACTCTACAAGGGCAGTATTATGAAAACTAACAGTATCAGCGATGATGAGTCGGATAGCATCACAGACTCAATGGACAGGACTTAGAGTAAACTCAGGGAGACAGTGGAGGACAGGGAAGCCTGGTGTGCTGCAGTCCATGGAGTTGCAAAGAGTCAGACATGACTCAGCGATTGAACAAGAACAATGATATCTGCAACTTACTAAGCTGTCCACCTATTACCTCTATGTGCTCCACTCACAATAAACTATTAATAAACCTTTGCATATTTTTAGACATTATTTAGCCTTGAGGTTTGAAACTGCTCCCTGACTAGCTGCCCTGACAGCAGAAAATTTTTCTCTTGGTAAACAGAGGGTGAAAGATTTAAGTGATATCATTTAGTGTCATTATTATTCAGTCACTAAGTCGTGTCCAACTCTTCGTGACTCCATGGACTGTAGCACACCAGGCTCCTCTGTGCTCCATTATCTCCCAAAGTTTGCTCAAATTCATGTGCATTAAGTCAGTGATGCTATCTAACCATCTTATCCTCTGCCACGTCCTTCTCCTTTTGCCTTTCATCTTTTCCAGCATCAAAGTCTTTTCCAATAAGCTGGCTCTTTGCATCAGGGGGCCAAAGTATTGGAGCTTCAGCAACAGTCCTTCCAATGAATATCTGGGGTTGATTTCTTTTCGGATTGACTGGTTTGATTTTCTTTCAGTCCAAGGGACTCTCAAGAGTCTTCTCCAGCACCACAGTTTCAAGGCGTGAATTCTTTAGCACTCAGCCTTCTTTATGGTCCAACTATCACATCCATACATGACTACTGGGAAAACCACAGCTTTGACTAGATGGACCTTTGTCGGCAAAGTGATGTCCCAGCTTTCTAATATGCTGCCTAGGTTTGTCATAGCTTTTCTTCCAAGGAGCAAGTATCTTTTAATTTCAAGGCTGCAGTTACCATCTGCAGTGATTGTGGAGCCCAAGAAAATAAAATCTGTCACTGCTTCCACTTTTTCCCCTTCTATTTGCCATAAAGTGGGAGGACCAAGTGCCATGATCTTAGTTTTTTTTAAATGTTGCCGCTCTCTCTACTCACTGTCTTTGAGGTTAAACACTGTTATTTGATAGTGTTATATATGACATTCAAGTCTTTTCTATAATGAAATACATCAATGTATCCCATCAAGTAACCTGATATACATACATATACTGTATGATAATTTATATCTAAAAGACCAGTGGTAGGTGGTCTAATGAACACTGAACTCCACAGAAAAATGAACTATAAAAGAAGGTATTTTCTTTTCACAAAAAGCAAGAGATCACAGTAACTAAAATATTTTCAATTCCATAATTAAGAACTTACTCTTTCTCCAGGTTGGCTACAACACCATTTACATAATCAGTATCTGTCTGGGAGAGAAAAAAAAATTACACCAACATTCATGTTTCTATGTTTTTGTATTTTTATTTCACATTTGATTTAACTTTTAAATCTGAACTTAAAGTTAAATAAACGATTAAAACATCCATTGGAAACATGAAATTTTCAGACAACTTATGGGATTTGCATAAGTTGTACTCTACTTTATGGCCCTGCTATATATCATTGAGTACTTACCAATACAACAAGCAGATTCTTAAGTTTTTATTGCTTTCAATTGTCTGTATCTCCGTTCAATTCAGTAGAAAAAAGTGAGCACAGAAACTATTTCTACTTCTGCAACATCCAAACTATAAGTAGTGAATAAATACCAGACACAGCACGCAATAGGGAAAGAATTCCCACTTGGAATCATAAAATCTAGGTTCAAGATTTGTCTCCCGAGCTACCGGTCTATGTAATCTAAAGTCACTATGCTGAGCCTCAGTTTCCTACCCTATTTAAAAGAAAAAAAAAGTGGGGGGAGATAATATCTCAGAGACTATGACATTAAATGATAAAGCTAGGTAATAAAAAGCTGTGTTATTCTTTATTACCGTGATTACTTTATTTTTAGGCTGATAATGAGAATCCAGGTCAAGAGTGTGTTAACAAATCAGAAAAAAGTTTAACAAACCTGTCAACTTCTAGAGTATATACAAGTGGACAGCCAATACTCCCAAACACTTTTAACTAGAGTGACAGCTTAAAATGCTCAATTGTTAAAAGGAATCAATGATATATATAGTATGATCTATGTTACAAAGACTGCCAAAACACTTCATACTTGAGGAAAACAAAACACACCTGAAAAGATAAAGCTTTAAGCCTGGATATTACAAAACCACCGAATTAAAAAAAAAAAAAAAGTTTTAGGGGAAGTCTTTTTGGAAAAGTATTCAATTGTAATTTCTATTCATTGAAAGTAACTCCTATTTTATTGCTAAAGACATAAGAATGAGGCAACGTATTAAGAACATAGCCTTCAAATTCTTAACAAAGAATTACAGGAATACAACCAACACACAACTCAAAACCCTCCGTCCTTCCCCTACACAAACCCAAACACACCTCGCCACTCATCAGGCTATGATTTTGGAGAACACAATCAGTTCTGGTTTGTATAACCTTTAGTGAGTTTACTAATAATTCTATTTGATAAGCATTTATTAAGACCCAGTGATTTGCCTATCCAAGGAAATGGGAATACAAGACAAAGAAGAGCAGCTCCCTATCCCAGGAGGCCGTCCAAGAAGCACAGGCTTATGTGAACACAGATCTATCATATAATGTATAATAAAACACAAAATGCAAGTGAGCCATATCTAACAGTACACATAACCCTTATGTTGCACATTAACTGACATTAAGTAGCAAAAGATTCATTTAAAGGACTATATAGTCTTTGAGATTTTGGAGGCTTCATTGCTTTAAATTTAAAGAACCTTTTTCCTGAAATCTTTTTTATAAAGGTCTGTGGAGATTTTTTAATATTTTTTTATGTGGACCATTTTAAAGTCTTTACTGAATTTGTTACATACAGCTTCTGTTTTGTTGTTTTATTTTAAGTTGAGAGGCTTTGTGGGATCTAGCTCCCTGACCAGGGGTGGAACCCACCCCTCCTACACCGGAAGATAAAGTCTTAATCACTGTACTGCCAGGGAAGTCCTACATGAAGACTTTTTTAAAAGGTAATACTGTTACCCAATTATCAGAATGCATCTCTGAATCTATCACTGAAATATGTTTATTCCAAGGGTATGTAAGCGATATGATATGATTGAGATAGGTGGCGGAAAAGAGTAGACATACATTGAAAAGAAGAAAGAGCATTTCCCCCTCTTGGAATATCAAGTCTTTTTTATGGTTAAGCAAAATTATTTTAATTAAAACCAAAAGATGTATAAATACATACTGAAACATGGATGAACCCTGAAAACACTAGGCTAAGTGAGAGAAGCCAGTCACAAAGGACCACATAGTTTATAACTGTACTTTTACAAACTGTCCAGAATTTTAAAAACAAACATCTACAGAGACAGAAAGTAGATTAGCGGTCTATTAATTAGTGTCTAAGCCTAGAGGGAAAGCAGTATTAATGAGTAATGGCTAAAGGGTGCCAAAATTTCTTTTTTAGGTGATAAAAAATCTTCTAAAATTGATTGAGATGATGGCTATAGAACTCTGATTTTAAATAGGTGAACTGTATGTTATGTGAATTCCAAATAAAAATAAAAAAATTTAAACCAAGAAAAAAGTTCAATGTAGAAAAAGAAGGATTTCAGACTGTGCATACTGAACTATGGGTCAGCTTCTCTTAGGGATATATAAGGAAAAGTTTAAGAAGCATAGAAGCAGGTTCAAATAAGTCACTAATACTGACAATTCACCACTGTAAAGTCACATATATGTAATAATTCATCAACATATATGCTTGGCTTAAGAATCAATTTTACCAGTAGTGTATAAATTAGATGAAATGAAAGTAACAAATTCCAATCTTTATCTTAAATCAATAACTTATAAATTATTCTTTGCCAAATGTCATGGCAGTAAGGAAATTGTGACAGAGTCAAAATATTTCACAGAAACTTTTGATTAAACTCAATTAATATATAAAATATCATATCACTTTTGAATATGCTATAGCTCTTGTGTTCTGTAATACTGCAAAGAACAAATATGTGAAACAGAAGTCTGAGTAAAAATATACTTCTACAAATAAATTATAGAAACTTCTTTATAATGGTCTAATGAATAAAACAGAATGTTAGAGGCAACCTCCTATGAAAAAATAAACATTGCAAATGTCAGAGAATTTTAACAGGTACCAGCTATAAAACAGTTACTCAGATGAAAAGAAGAAATTTTAAGCACTAGATCAAAAAGAACACAAAATTAAAAAGACTGAATTTTAAATCACTTGAAGGTAAAAACTGTCTTTAAAAAACTAATTTTATGTTTAAAGAACATTTTTTAAATGTCCTTTATATATGGACAGAGGAGCCTGGCAGGCTACGGTCCATTAGGTTGCAAAGAGCTGGACACGACTAAAACAACTTAGTACACACACACATATGTAAATTTACTACCTTCTACTCATTTTATTTCACAAATATTTACTTAGTGTCTACACCATAAGCAGGGATATTTATATCCACAGCATATCCGTATCGTCAAACTCTGAGTGCATGCATGCTCAGGTGCTAAGTCGCGTCTGACTCTGCAACACCATGGACTGTAGCCCGCCAAGCTCCTCTGTCCATGGGATTTTCCAGGCAAGAATACTAGAGTAGGTAGCCATTCCCTTCTCCAGGGAATCTTCCTGACCCAGGGATCAAACCCAGGTCTCCTGCATTACAGGCAAATTCTGAGCCACAAGGGAAACCCTTAGACAGGGTATGTGTAAGATAATCCACTGGAATACGTCCCAGTTTAAATTTTTCTATTTTGGATATATTTTAGAGGGTATAATATACTATTATTAGTATACACGTGTACAGCCTGGGAGTATGGGATCAATGAGATGCTGAGAAGGAAGGCTGGGCTCACAATGCTATACTGGGTGAGTCCTGGTGAGATAGAAAGGTTGAACTAGCCAAACAGGCCACCAGGTGGTAATGAAAATAGGCCACAGAAATAAGAATGCTATCAGCCACCTTTTATGGTTACCTTCTAAATAACCCCTGCTGGCTTTCCATCATTCCGTTGATAGCTTTGCTGAAGTCCTCTATCCTTGCTCCTAGTGGCTACATTTTCTTCCAGTTATGGGTCACTTTTTTTGGCTCCTTGGCATGCAGGAAAACAATAATGAATTATTATTTGATACTGGACATCACAAATGGACAGGGCATCCCTGGTGGCAAAGTGGTAAAAAAAAAAAAATCTGCCTGCCAATGCAGAAGATGTGGGTTCAATCCCTGAGTTGGGAAGATCAGCTAAAGAAGGAACTGGCAACCCACTCCAGTATTCTTGCCTGGGAAGTCTGGGAAATCAAACCAGTCAATCTTAGGGGAAATCAACCCTGAATATTCATTGGAAGGATGGATACCGAAGGTCCAATGCTTTGGCCACCTGATATGAGAGCTGACTCATTAGAAAATACCCTAATTCTGGGAGAGATTGAAGGCAAAAGGAGAAGAGGGCAACAGAGGATGAGATGCTGGATAGCATCACTGACTCAACAGACAGGAGTCTGAGCAAACTCCAGTAGATAGTGAAGGACAGGGAAGCCTGGCGTGCTGCAGTCCATGGGGTCATAAAGAGTCGGACACGACTTAGTGAATGAACAACAATAATAAACAACTAAAAAGCTGGCCAAAATATATGATCCAGTTGTTCTCAGACAGTGGACAGCAGACTGTGCAGGATGGGATTCTCCGAGAGAGAACTGAGCATCACGATTGTCCCGACTTCCACCTGGAGACATTTCCAGATCATGTTGCAGGAAGGGAAATCTGAAGACAGCAGCTGGAGAGTGCAGAACAGACTTGCCAAAAGGAGGCTGACTGCTGCACAGAAAATGACGGTGCCCTTGCGTGTGTGTTGGGTGGGGACCCAGTGAGAATTCCAGAAAGACAATGTGTGCAAGTGACAAAAGGTTAAAATGACAGGCATGTGCCACAAGGGGTTGACAGCTCATAATAAACTGCAGATCTACCAATGAAGGTAACAAGTACCACAGTTAGCTTGTAGTTTCTAAAACAGTCAAGCTGTCAACCTAAAGGAAATCAGTCCTGAATATTCATTGGAAGGACTGTAGCTGAAGCTGAAGCTCCAATACTTTGGCCACCTGATATGAAGAGTTGACTCACTGGAAAAGATTCTGATGCTGGGAAAGACTGAAGGAGAAGGGGGTGGCAGAGGATTAGATGGTTAGATAGCATCACTGACTCAACGGACATGAATTTGAGCAAACTCTGGGAGATAGTGGAGGACATGTAACCTGGCGTGCTACAGTATACGGGGTCACAAAGAGTTGGACGCAACT